CCGCCCCCGCCGCCGCCCCCCCCCCCCCCCCCCCCCCGCCACAGCAGCCGGAAGGGCCCCCGGCCCAAGCTGGGACGTGGGACTGAGGCCCAGACATGCAGGGACACGCTCACGGTTGCACAGGGAGCCTGTGGCCGGGCTGGACACCAGGCCCCCAAATCCCACAGAGCACGGCGGAGGGACTCCCTTCGCACCAGTCCAGAGGGACCCTGGCCGCGAGTTCAGGAGCACTTCTCACCTCTAGCCAGCCCTGCCCGGAGGGACGCGCTCCCGGAACGAGGCCGGGTGTGAATGCCACGAGGCCAGGCCGGCCAAGCTCCCTGCAGCCCCCAACAGGCCACGGCTGTTTCCAGCAGCTGGAGGACGGCTCGCTGCCGTCCCGCCCGCCTACCTCTTCCCCAGGGTGACCCCCGCGAGCTTGATCAGGTCCCTCATGCAGGGCGTGATGAGGACGGGCGGCTCATCACTGTCTCCGGCCTCGTCGTAGCTCTCCACCTGCTCCACCACAAACTGGGCGTGCCGCAGCAGGGAGTCCTCTGTGAAGCGGTTGAAGTTCAGCCCAGCAGGAGGCACGGTCGTCTGGAGAGACGCAGCGGAGCGTCATGGGACAGCCGCGCACAGCCCTGCCAGTGTCCGGGGCCCTGGGGCGTGGCACAGCCTGGAGCCAGGCCGCTCAGCTTGGACGTCCAGACCCATGAGAGGCTACCAAAGAGGCGACCGCTCGCTTACTCCACGCGGCTGATTGGGGCACGCAGCCATGCCAAGCTCATTGCCCCCAGACCGGGGTGCAGCGCGTCGCCCTCGCCGTACGGCCCAGCAGGCCCTGCCAGTGTCCGGGGCCCTGGGGCGTGGCACAGCCTGGAGCCAGGCCGCTCAGCTTGGACGTCCAGACCCATGAGAGGCTACCAAAGAGGCGACCGCTCGCTTACTCCACGCGGCTGATTGGGGCACGCAGCCATGCCAAGCTCATTGCCCCCAGACCGGGGTGCAGCGCGTCGCCCTCGCCGTACGGCCCAGCAGAGGCAGGACTCCCCCGCTCACGAGTCCAAGCACGCAGGCCATCTTCCTACCTCCCACCTGCCCCCCTTCGAGGGGAAGGGGCCGCCATCTCGTCCGGAGAGGAAGCAGCGAAGGCACAGACGCTGCCAGGCTGGGGGCTGTCCTGGGACCAGGGCTCTCCCCTCCCCCCGACACTGGCACCGCCCCGGCGCCCAGCGGGAGGCCCCTAGGCGCGAGCGGCCGTGCCCGAGGTCTCACCTCGATCTTGTTCAGCAAATCCTCATAGCTGACGTGTGGGTTGTTCTGCAGGAATTCCACAACGATTTTACTCATGTAGATTTTCTCCTGCATCAGCGCGAAGGTGGGGGCGTACTCCTCGCTGGGCTCCATGAGGATGTAATCCGCGAAGGCTGAAGCGGGAGACGGCCAGAGACCGTGACTGCCAGGGCCCTGCCGAGCTCCCGCTACGGCGGGTGCAGCGGGCAAAGCATAAAGGAGCCTTGGGGACAGAGTCCTGCCGGGCCCGCAAGCATCGACACCCGTCAAGAGGCTTAGCTCAGATAGCGTCACCCTGCCCGTTAAAGGGCGACGGGTTAGGCTGCGTGTTGAAGCGGTTATCCGCCCGCTGCGTCGCGCCCCGGCCGGGGCTGGCAACATCCCCGTTCCATCCGTGCCCATCCACCCGCCC